TAGGAATTATATACAATTGAATACTTACAATTCCTAGGAAATGTACCTATACAATTCCGAGGCTTTTTAGGAAATGTATAAAATATTGTTTCAAAGATTTTTTAATACTCACATAATCTAGGAAATGTATACATTTCCTAGGAATTGTACGAAATTCCGATATTGTAGGTACTAGGAAATGTGTAAAACTAATGTTTTCTGTGAATAAAATACTCTAACATTTATTAAACGTTTCCAAGCAGCTTGCTGTATTAGTGTCTATTTTATGTCTTAGGCCGCCAAATATTGTTTTTCAACATTCGATAACTATGTTTCATTATAATTTCCGCGCAAAACATATATATATCATAATGATCAGCATATCTGTATCTACAACATACTAAAAATTCATATCCATTAGCAACATCATTGTTTGGTTAGGTAAATTTACGACAGAATGGAATTTATTTAATATCCCTGCCCGCCGAAACCGGGCTGATATGTTAAACTATTTTATTCACAGAAAGCATTAGTTTTATACATTTCCTAGTACAATATTGGAATTTCATACAATTCCTAAGAAACGTATACATTTCCCAGAATATGTGTGTATTAAAAAATCTTTGAAACAATATTTTATACATTTCCTAAATAGCCTCGGAATTGTATACATTTCCTAGGAATTTCCGGTAACATATGAACTTCTTCGTCCGAAATAATACCCGAACTATATATTTATTTCAATGTTTATTCGCTAACTATAACAATTGCTTTGTAAGGTCAATATATTTTTTAAATTAATAAAATGGTAAAATTAATACATTTTTAAAAAATAATTCTGAAAGATGTTTCCTAATCTTAGAAATAAGCGCGTAGTCGGGACGATCCAAGGTTGTGATTCACACAGAATTTGTTTAGATTCTTAAAAAAGTGTGTTTTAGCATTTAGGTTATTGTTTTTGGATTTGTCCATTTGTGTAGAAAATTTTTCTTATTTTGTGCGCATTATATGTGTTTTGATGGAACATTTGACACCCCGACTAGTTACCAAACATATTCTGGACTGGTAATTCTTAATTTTAATTTAGATTTAAACAGTTTGTTGCAATAAAGAAAGTATTACTACCACGTAGTTCAGATGGAGTTTTGGTACTCTACCATGGGCTTCTATAAAATATCTTTTTTTTTGTGTTTTTCACCATTTCATTCAAAGATTTTCTTATTTTCTCCACATAAGTTTCTAAGCACTATAAATCTTTTGAGTTCGAATTCAAAATTCAAAGAACCATCCGGAAACGAATGAACCGCTAGATAAATCGCTCATCATTAAGCGAAGAGCGTTAGCGACAACGGGTAGCAGTAGATATGGAGCGCTACCCTCTGGCTCTACTCCACATTCAACATCAACCCCTTAGCAACGGAACTGTTCGGTCACATTCTAATGGATTTGATCTGTGAGTCGTGGTGGTTGCCACTGGCGCTACGCTATTGGTGGAATCGCCGCTAATCCCATTGGTCTGACATGCTCTTTTCTGACATTGGAGCCCCTCCCACCACACAGCATCACGGTGACCTCTATATATTGTCAGGATGTCTCTCTCTCTATTTATTTTCCGGTTACGTCCGCTTTTCCAGTTGCTTTTTTATCTAAATAATGTTTCACCCCGGAAAAAACCGTTTCTCAATGATACAGATTATGCCATTGTACCTATTATTATTTGAGAAAGTAGTTTTCAAATTATCGTATTAGTAAACATACGAAAACACTTGAAAATTTTGTTTAATTTGAATTTCGAGAAAATGAAAGATCAAAAAATCTTTTCATTTTTCCTAGGCGTTGAGCTTTTGGGTTGTGTTTTGCCTTATCGTTTGCTTAACTACAGACATTACGCTGGGCTAATTGTAAGCAGAAGACGTCTTTAGTGCTATATCATGCTAACCGTGGTGGGGAACATCCCGAACAACTGCCATTTGCTAATTCTGGTCAAATATTTGCAGTTAAACAAAGGATACGGCAAATCCAAACCCAAAAACTCAACCAGCTTCATTTAAATTGAAAATGCCATATGATCTTCTGTTTCATCTACCTAATAATGGCAGCGAAAACCTTTTCAGAAATTTCGAAAATACCTATATTTTCTTTTTTTTTTTTTTTTAAATCCGATATGGTTGGTAAATGTTTTCGCGTAGGTGAACTGATGCTATCCCGATTTCGGGCCTAAAGGCTTCTTCCAGTATCGGAAGAAGCTCGTCCCTCGTGCTAGCGAAACGGTGTTAGGAAGCAATAACTCCCAATCTACGACGGCTTTTAAACCCGAATCAGGGCAGCATCAGTTTGTCTAATTTCATTTTTTGATTGCATTTAATTGACCTTTCAGAGTTGTACTGTACTGTAAATGAATACTAAATATACAAATTTGAAAATAGTTCTTATATTTTTAGTCATGCCTTTCATAAATTCATGATATTTAAATTTTGTCTAACTTTTTAGAGAATCATTTTGAGAAATAAAATGAAAATTACGCAGTTATTATGAATAATTTTTAACATGTTCATTAATTACTTCCCTGAATGATCTCTCTGTTTGTCCTTTGTATAAACTTCACTTTTGCTCAATAAAGTCATTTTGTCCTTTTGGCATAATCTATATTTTGATTAAACTTAAAGCTAATAATAATAATAATAATATATAATATTACTAAGTCAGAGAGAAATTATACCACAGGTAAGTGTTCTTTGTTCGCATATATATTTATATAAATAGATGAAAATTCCATTTTTCCGATAACTTTGTTTATGAGTAGGTACATTTAAATTTATTATTCGAGTTTCGCGTTCCCCGAAACGGAGTTTAGAGAGTTTTAGCAGGTCAGCGTTCGAATAAGATGACTTCCAAGAACTTGTAAATGTCTTCGTCGCGCCTCCAAACCAACCAGGATTGTAGCAGTAGAATGTTGTGTACGTACATATATATTTTAGGTGCAAAATCGGGACCCAGGCAGGACAGAGAGCAGTAGAGCGAACGACAAACCTATTGATTTTCCCCCTTCCGATGGATGGATGGATGGTCGCGATGCATTCCGATCGGGAGTAGTGCTTTGGCTTAAAAAGATTATCCTCGGAACTTTAAAAGCTCGCAGTTTTCGGATTTCTTTTTTGCTGCGGCGATCAAAGGAAAAGTACCAGATACGAATTAGACGACGGAATTACTTCAGGGGTTTTCGTTGTCGTTGTTTTCGTAGAAGGCTATACAAGGGAAGGAAACACTTCTACCTTCTCGTTAAACAAACTCTTTGATGATGTAAATTCAAAAAAAATCAAGATGAAGATATTTTTTTCATTTTTGAGGAGTCATAATATAAAATTTAATGGATACATGTACTTATTTACTGTGCAAGTATTAGGTACACTAACAAAATTAAAACGTTTAGCGGGAAAACAGGCGTCAACTGCCCCCAGCGATTTTCAAATTATTTACTACTAGTGACCCGCCCCAGCTTCGCACGGGTGCAATGCTGATACTAAATATATTTTTGTTTTGTTTAGATTATTATCGAAAAGGGGAAATCTTCAAAAGATACCCCTTGAACATACTAAATATACTACAGAATGTCTTTATATACAACATTCACAGTATTTTTGTCATTAGACAATACAAACCAGCCTCCCGACCGGTACCGCCGCAACCGCTATGTCCCTGCATTTTAAATCTGTAATATCTTCGAAAATATTAATTTAAATTACATGCTGTAAAGGTCCATATTGATCTATATTAAATGCACAATGTATTTAAGGTACTTAATTGGATAAGAATTAATGCTGTATTGCCTACAATCGCTTCGTAAATAAGTCATTATTTCTCATAAAAAGTAAAGGATAAAAATGGTTATTTTGGGTTATCCCTAAGAGATAGACATATACCATCCCGGACTTTTTTGTAGACCCTTTTAAGATGTACAATATTGTAGTACATTATTTTGATCTATCTCGTAGGGTTCAGCCAGCGTTTGCAATGTAAGCGCAAAAATGTGTTTATTTACGACATCACATTAGAAACCTCTAAAATTATCAGTGTTTCCCTACTATATTATGCATGTATTATACATATAAACCTTTCTCTTGAATCACTCTATCTTTTAAAAAAAACCGCATCAAAATCCGTTGCGTAGTTTTAAAGATTTAAGCATACATAGGGACAGACAGCGGGAAAGCGACTTTGTTTTATACTATGTAGTGATTATGGAGGGCATATTTTGCATGTGGTACCTAAAAGTATTTTCATTATAATGATAGACTACCTTATTTTGAATTATTTGATAAGAAAGCATCGTTAAAAGTGTTTTTATTGGTCGCTGAATATTGTATTTTTCTAAAACAATCGCACCGGTCCTGTGCATGAAAGCGATCCGACCTCGTGCAATTATTTGATCTCCATCTCTACAGCTTTAACCAGTTAATTGACACCCTTAATATAGAAAGTTAGGTGTTAGCGCACAATAAAACATGAAAATGAAGAAAATGTTTGTATGTCCGAAAGTTCACTGTTTCGATAAAAACGTAGTCGAAAGTACAGATTAAATTTCGGCCCTGGAAAGAATAATATGGTCCGCAGCGCTGCACTCAATCAGCTGATGATTACCAGGATCAATGTAGTGTTTGTTGTGTATTTTTTTGCTCATGTATTGTTTATTTATTAGATCTTATTAATCGTAAATGTTACTCAGCGTATTTACGTTAACAACTAACTTTTGGTAGCCATTTATTCTTTTAACGTGTAAACCTTACATGCATGAGGCAATCGATGTGCAGTCCAATAAACCAATATATAACGATAAATCATCAATCATTACTACAGATCAGTCACTGTAGAACAGTTATTATTGTTACAATAATGTGACATAATAAGTATTTTACTTGTTTGAACCAAACCATATCCCTGCTGAAGGCACGAAATCCTTGATTTTAAAAAGGACAATCCCCAAAATTACACGCGAAATAGGAGAGAACGTTGGTTCGTCTAATATGACTGTGCGGCAAATTTTAAATGAACAGTTGCTGCATCCTTATCATTTGCAGCGAGTGCAAGCCTTGTTTGAAACTGATTTTCAGTTGCGAGAGGATTTTTGTGTCGGTGGTTTCGAAAATGCTGCAAAGCCTATGTTTTTTAAAGATATACCGTGTTGTTTACAGATAAATTTGCTTCACACGGGACGGAACTTCGCATGTTGTACATCCTTCGTGATTTCAAGAACTGTTTTTGGTAAGTGTGTGCAGTGTAAAATTTTTAGCGACTTATTTGACTTTTTGCTAAGTTAAAACTTAAAAACCACCCCCACAAAGGTAACGCACCTTGGCAATATGGGAATACCTCAATGGTGGTGTGGAAATGTTACTATTCTCTTGATGATGCTCATATTATTTATTAATTAGTTTATGTAGTCTAACCATTATGCTGTCAATGAAAATACGGTATTTTTGTAGAAAAACTGCCTCTGAGGTTATGTTCCAATTAAAAGGATACTTTCAATTTTGCGAACTACGTACTTTTTGTTTTTTTGATGTTGTAAAGCGATAAATTGAAATTACACTAAGTATTTTTAATGAATTATTTATTCGTTATTAACGTTGTTTGAGGGCAAAAAAAATAAAAAAAGAATCAATAAACATATGTTTCTATTTTTTTAAATTATGTATATTAACTTCTTTATTAACTAAATAAGTAGATTATTCTCTGATTATTTTCCAATTACATTTTCACAAAAATTGGGCCGATTCTTTGCAGAAAGTGTACTCTCTTCAATTTATTTGTTCCGATGATTTAATTTTTAAATCAGATATTTCTGATTGACTTCCTTTTATGTAATGATAATAATAAAAAAAATAATAATAATGGGATAGCCATTAGCCTCTATCGTGATTGCCGTTGCCGCTAACAAAATTAATTTTCGTTCGTTTATTTACGAGTTTTCGCAACGTACTACCCCATCGCATCTACCACCTAACAACTTCATGCAGATGATTGTGGCGTCGCTGTCGCGGCGGTAACATTCTATCGTAATCTGTGTGCGAGATGACTGGGATCGGGGGTTGAAGGGAGGTTGGTGTTACGTTGGTTGTGCGAAACGAGTGAGAAGGAGGAGGGGGGACGAGGAAGGGGGGGGGCGGACGTCGACGTCGACGTCGACCTGGAGGGTTAAAGACGCCGTCGACGCCGGGGTTTAAAGCGCAGACGCCTGCCCCGACAGAAGTTAAACACAGGGTAGCAGGCATCTGATCCCGCCCATAGATGACTTCTCCTCTAATAGACTACCCCAGCCTCACACTCAAATCTCTCACTTTACAAACCAACAACCATCAAAATAAATCTAACAGCAGATAACAACGGATCTGATAACGTGATTTGTTTCGCGACTAATTTTTTTTATTGGTATTTATCAAATGGATTTGTTAATATCCGATTGATTTACCCGGTTTGTTTATTAACGTGGTAGCAAATGAAGAGGTTTAACAATTAAATTCTAAAAAGTTTCCCTTACGTTCATTATTATTACGTCGGAAAATAGCAGCCAACTGCGACTACGGTAACCATGGAGAACTCTCAGCCTACGACGATCCTGCCTTCGCTCCATCAGTCGCGCTCATCACCTAGTGAAAATTACCAACATCCTAGTAACGGGGGTAAGATACCTACTTAATGTACAAAAGAGATAATAAATAACTTAATTTGGTGTTGTGCCCTGTGTATTTAACAAAGTGTTCGTTGTCTGTGAGGATTAAGTAAATCCAATGCATGCTATCAAATAGATATCGATGTTTGATGAATTTGGTGCAAGTGAAATAATCTGGGAAGGTAATCTATTGTTCTTGTTTTTTTGCCCATAACCAAACTTAATCGAATAGGATGAAAACAAATTACCGTGAAAGTTTTCTTGAATAATTATCGTTAAACAAGAATGTCCTTTAACTATTTGCAAAAACAAAGAAGATTTTTAAGGACACATTTTAAATGCATGAGGCTATATATGATTAGTGCATATAAAAGAGTTTCTTTGGGTACGTCTGTACGGTATTATTGTCTCTAAGAGAACTTCGAAGGATTCTTGAGGATAATATGCAGTAGGTATATCAGCAGTGAATAACGTACCGTTAAAGATAAAGTTTTGGCTAATAAAATTGTTGAAGAAGTTTTTTATTTTGTTGGAATTAAAATAATTTTATTCTATTTATTGCAATTCGAAGTATTAAAAATTATGTTAACTTAAAAGTTTATATGAAACAATAAATTGTTTGTGGAAAGCTTTTCTTTATTTATATATACGTAATAATTTTTCTTCCGTCGGAAAAAACGTGATTATTAAAATCATATGAAGAAAAGGAAATGTTGAAGATTAAAATTATGAAAATATTACATTAAAATGTTCTGATTCGTACCCGTCTGTTTGTCATATTCGTGACTCCCGACCAAAGCTAGGTAGTATCGGGATATGGCATTTTGTAATCTAAGAACTATGTCCGGATCCGGAAAAACGTACTCGTTACTGTACGTATTTTCCAGACAATTCGTAACGTATTCGTGTCCGGGTACTTTTTATCTTTCCACTGAAATACAATTAATTATTGTTGCTCTAAAGTCCGGCGCAATGCCTTATTTGATGAGAATTTTGAAATTTTTCTGTTGAACTAAGTAAATTCAAACGAAAATATCAAGTTTTCGTATGTATGACTATTTCATTTTTCAATTGTTAATTGACAAGATAAAATTTTCTTTTGAACCATACACCACCTTTCTTCTAGAAGGGTTTTCAGGGATAATAAATTTGGCAACTAAAAGGCATCTCTATATCTCATATTCGACTCCGGGTGCAATTAGCGATATTAGAATACATTTCAGAAATATTCGAAACCACACCTCTTTCAAAGCATATAAATTTTGACTGTGCTTCGGATATATTAGAGACATAATTTTTTATAAGCAGGTTTTTTCGGATTACAAAGCACTTTCCTATTCGTATTGTAAAATAGGGTTACAAATATTATATTTTCATTCTGAGGTATGTGGGGTTTTGTTATAGATGCTTTTAAAAGTTATGTATCAATTAAAAAAGTTTCTTTAATTTTGAAGCCTTAGTTTTGTTTGGAAATATTAAACTTCATAGCCATTAGACATGCCACGTGTGTTATTTTCAAACAAATAAGGAAAATACTTAGAAAAACTTGCATAAGTATTTTCAATGTTTGACAAGCATTATACTATTAAGTACATAGTTTTGGAATTTTTAGATCTGAAATATTAAATGATCACGAAGCCTTACGGTGGGCGTATCTAACACCTCTCTCGGGCACTTCATTTCAGTGCTAATCCTCAGTATTGGTAGACTGTCTAGGGAAAAACTCCATATAACGTACAAATAATGAATTTGACTGACGAAGACTCTTTTTAACGAAACGACTATTATGTGAAACGTATCAATATAATATAATTTGAACAGTGAACAGTATTTTAATCCTTTTTGGTTAGTGTTTATGTAAATACTAGCTGTCGGTAACTTATTGTTTCGCTGGGTTTATATTCTCATTTGTTCTAAATGGTCGACCTGCAAGCACAAATTAATGATGACCAAAGTAAGATCAAGACCAGGATCAAGACTGACCCAGTCTGATATGGTCTCGGTTCTGGTCTGGGTTTGACGTGGGCGAAACACGTGTCCTTTCAGTAAGTGTTAGTGGTTATTGGGGTGAGTCTCCTCTTTTATTTATTTATTCATTTACCACAGTCTCCCTGTTTCTATTTTATATCGACACAATAATTAAATTCTGAAATTTTCCGTCATACATGTCGAGTTTGTCATGTCGATTGTTGTCAGAGTTTTGAAAACTCGAGAACTTACCCTTTCTCCAATGCATAAGTTGACATTTCCTTCAACCCATAAATTGACTTACGTTACCTGGGTCGAATATGACCACCTTAAGGTTTGACATCAGTTTTCTCGCATTGCTTAAATTTTGAGGTAATAGGAAAAAGAAGACAATATGTAAATAGAATTGAATATAAATCATTAATTTTTAATAACTTGGAAAATGGTCATATTTATGATAGTGTTGTTAAATATAGCCATGCATAGTGATCACATTAAAGACATAAATTACACATGTAGGCAATTTCTAGTTTTAATTGGTTTTGATCTTTTAAATAAAATGCATTTTTATAATGTGAAACTCATATAATTTGAACAAATCAAACACCTAAAAAAATTAACAAAATCATAATGCTAACAAAATAAAACACAGATAAACATTAATAACACTAACAAATCCAAACACAAATTATTTTTAAATTTAATATTAATAACTAGGAAATAATATAGTAATATAATAAATAATATTCTTTGCCTCACAATACGTCAAGACGCACATGCGAGTCAAAGGGTATCGAACATCGCTTAATGATACGAAATGCTAGCTCCTTTTCTTCCTGAGTACTAAGAAGTGGTTTTCTTTCCAATTTAAATTTTTCATATTATTGTCTATCGGATATCTTCGGAGAATTCTTCTAGGAAGCATCAAAAAATCCAATAAGGAAAATATGGCCACTTGTAACCTTTTATATTATTAAATTTAGCATAACGTAAGATACTAAAACAAATAAGTTAAGAAATATGCGTGGGTATTTCATCTACAACTGCTAAAAGCTAAATTAAAATTAATACTATTCACTACAATCTAATTATAATATGAGAAATTCATAAAAACTTACGATTGAAAATTTATAACAGCGACG